CAGGTTACAAAGATGTGGGAAGCTTACAGACTTGTGCCTGTACAAATACATGAAGGTTCACTATTTCTTGAGCAAGTAATCAAACTTCCTTTGCCACAAAAACTCAGAGTTGATGTCAGGTATCAGTTAATCATTTTGTCAAAACTTTAATGACATCGTTGCAAGGATTGGTGCTAGATAACAGGCTTTCAGTATTAACGGGAAATGGCTAACAAGATGACAATACCGCAAGGGGCAAGCACAAACTGAAGTTGAGAAACTAACAATTACATATGAAATGCCATGGTAAAACCATCTGTGTTCCAGAATATGATCTAGAAGCTTGTCACACCCAGTTATGGAAAGGACATCCTATAAGCAAATAAAAGCATGTAGGAACTAGATTATCAGGGAGAATGCAACACTACCTGGGCAGTAAGTGACTTGATTACTTCTTTTGCAGCTTTGCTCCTTGCTGTTTCTTCTTCAGCTATTGATGTTGCTTCCCGGAATTGCTTTGTTTTGCTTTCTAGCTCAGCTTCCAAAAGTTCAGATTTATGTCTCAGATCCTCTACCTGTAATGCAGAATTCCAGATCATGACCTGGCTAGAAATTCCAAATGTCTACCTAAACTAGTTTTAAGGTTGTTAGAATTAATATAAAACTATAATCCTTGATCCTCACCATAACTTCGGAGTTTTGGTGTAATGGTTAGAGGAACTAAATTTAAGATGGTATCAGAGCAACCCAGGTTCAAATCTCACCGACCACAAATTAAATACGGATTTTCTAAAAATTGACACCGCTACGTGAGTCCAGGTTTCGACCCATAAAAAGGGGCGCTCGACCTGCGGGGGCATGTTAGAATTAATATAAAACTATAATCGTTGATCCTCACCATAACTTCGAAGTTTTGGTGTAATGGTTAGAGGAACTAAATTTAAGAAAGGTTGTTCATAATGAACGCCCGAAAGTAAGCATGAACCCATTTGAAAGGTAAAAAAGACTTAAATGGTAAAAGATTCTGAAGTCCAGTAATACCATATGATCACATAAGAATATCCATAAGTTAGTTATTTCCTGATACCCTTTTCAATTCGGAAGTGTGCTCATCCAAAACTGCCATTTAATTTGCAAGAAAGTCGTTTTACTTCTTAGGGTTACAAAAATCTACCTTCAAGATAACTGGGAGGGGTATCAAAAAGATGTCTCTTAGAACAAAAACTTAAAGTTCCTCTAACTACAATACAAAAGGATTGTTTATGATTAACGTATACTGAACCAATAAGGAGAATGTGCGGCTAAACAATGAGATTATAGTTGCTTCTGTTCAGCACACCATAAGGTATGTTTGGTGGGATGCAAGCATGGATGTCGCCACTGAGTACTTAAATATATGAGCATGTACAACATTCTCTGTTTATATAAGGAAATCTTCAGGTCTTCATCAAAAGCAATTCTTACTGTAGAAATGATGGATGATCCAATCATCTTCATCATGATCCTTATTTCCTCAAATATCTGTGGATAAAAAATCACGTAGTTTTCGAGCATGGATCAAGAGGTCCATCAAATTTATTGTATTAGAAACCATCACCCATGGACATGGAGTTCATTTTCAACCATGTGCATTGGTTATTTGAAAGGGAAACCATAAAGTTCTGCAAAGGTAAGTAAAGAAACCTACATAGCTAAAATTCATAACCCTCCTCTCTCTCTGCAACGACGCCCCCTCCCCCACTTTATTGTGTGTGTGTGTGTAATCCCCCCCCCCCTCCTTTTTTTGCCTGTTCTGTAGTTTTCGTTATGTTTTCCTATGTATGTTTCAAGCATTTGCATTGTCATGGTTCTCTTTGGAGAATTTGGAGTAAAAAATAAAAATGAAGACCCACTTTGTAGAAGCTGCTTCGCAAGTTGTATAGCGTATAAAACCAAAATTCAAATGAATTTAAGTTTTGGCATCATATAGGAACAAATATTCATATCCAGTAATAACAAGTTGTTTAGATCTGTCAAATGTATCTGCGACTATATATTGTTAATAATCCGGTGTTTCATGGGAGAACCAAGCTCATTACAGTTGAATGTCGCTTCATTCATGATATGGTACAGACCAAAAAGATAGTCTTTTTTTTCCTTCTCCGGGTTTGACTGGTTAGAGATTGGTAATGTCTCCCACTAAAGCATTGCTTAGAGAGAAAAAATCGCTTTTATGTAACAAGTTGGATATGATGGATATATATGCTCTAGATTGGCAGGAAGTATTAACGTAGTTAATACATCAGTTTGGTACTGTATTGAAAGCTTGTATAATTGTATCCTATTTACTTTCCTGATAAATGAAACTTATTACCCCTCTCTGGTACCGAATCAAGTTTACAAAATAACACAGATCTTATTACTTATTGACAAATCACGTTTACAAAATAACACAGATCTTATTACCTATTGACAAAAGTTACAAATCGTTTATCAGTAAGTAACTAGCACTAGCAATGCCATAGATAAGACCAGTGAAACATCTAATGCATAAAAATAGAATTTTACATGAATTTGATGAGTCTAATGATGCCATATTCTTTTCAAAAAATCAGTTACCTGTAAGTGCAAACTAACGACTTCTCCGTCCATGCTGTGACTTATTCTCTTTGAGTAATCAGCAATCACTTCAGGAGACCTTGGATAATCAAATGTTGATGGACTTGGCATACTTGACACTGGGGATGCTGATCTAGAGGCCATTCTTGAACTAGGAACAGAAGCAGAAGATATGCTTGATGATGCAACGAGAATATTTCGAGCACTTTCCCAGTGAGTCCTTTCATTCACGACAGGATATGATCGGTTGTTGCTTGGTTCAGATTTCTTGATCTGCCTCGGCTTGGTTTCACCTTTAAAGGAGCCCATGGAAGAAAGCCTGGATCGCACAGATTCCTTTTCTGCCATATCATTGGACATTTGATTTTGACCTCCATTTGGATATTTAGGAACTTGAGAATGCATTCCAGAAGCCATGCTTTTCTTGATCTTAGTATAACACTCATCACATACACGATAAGGTTTGTGAATACTTGGTGCCAAAGCTGCTTTTACAGATTTTTTGCTGCTGCATGATTTGCAAAATGCTAGACCACAGTTATAACAATTATGACATTTTCTTCTGAAAGAAAATGGAAGACGACAGCCAGAGCATATGGAAAGATCATCGCTGGACACCATTTTATGAATGCAGATTGCTGCAGTAAAATTTGGACCACACACAATTTTCTTAACATGCTTTCCCTTCAAAGCTTCAACATGTGTGGGTTTATTGCGGTCATCGGTATCACCATGGCCTAGTTGGCCATTTGCTCCCTTTCCCCATGTGTAGACTTCAGTTCTAGAAGTCAATACTGCAGTATGATAAGATCCACATGCTATCTCCTCAACAAAATTATCACGGAGCTTTCCTTCCACACAAGTGGGAAGCTTTGCATCTGCTTCAGGATTACCACGTTGCCCATAAAAAGAACTACCCATTGTATAAACTCGTCCACAAGTTGTAAGAGCAATTGTGATATCTTGCCCACAAGCAACCTGGCAGAAGTTTGGCTCAGTCAAGCTAGATACACAGGCTGGAACTAGCCTAGTTTCTCGGTCGCCATGTCCAAGTTGACCTTTGTCCCCATTTCCCCAGGTGAATAATCTGCCAGATGCAAAGTTATCAGAATCTGTAATCTCAACACTGATTTCTACAATTGCAGCAGTATGCCAAACACCACAAGCTGCCCTAACTGTGCACAACCCTCTGAAAGCCTCCACTTCTCTTGGAATATTTGTGCTTCTATAATCTCCATGGCCCAGAGCACCAAACGTTCCATCACCAAAGGTAAAAAGCTGACCTCCAGATGTTATAATTGCTGTATGCCATGGTCCACAGGATACTGAGGACACAGGTAGACCCTCTAATGGACCAACTACTAGCTTAGGAATCCAATGACTAGCTTCAGTCCCATGACCAAGTAGACCAGAATTATGAATGCCATCACCCCATGTATAAAGATCCCCAGACAAAGTTATAGCGCAAGTATGATACTCACCACATGCCACAAGTTGAATATTCATATCAGCCAACGATTTAATAACTTTCGGATGGGAAACATAAGCATCTACGCCGTGTCCAAGCCTGCCTCCTGATTCCTCACCCCAACTGTAAACCTCACCATTTTTGGTAACCAGTGCAACATACTTATTACCACAAGATACATGCTGAACATCAAGAAGAAATGTTGCTTGCAATTGTTTTGGAATGTGTGAATCTTGCTTCGCACAAAATGGAATTCCAGCCTTATGAAGATTGTCACCAGGAGCTCCATCACCTGGGACTTCCCCCCAGATAAATACATCACTTAAGCCATCAAAGTCCTCAAAACATGAACCATGGCTAGATGAGCTTACAGCACTAGAGGCACTAACTCTGATATTTTCAGCACCCGAGCTTCGCCCGTTTGAATTTTCCGCACCTCCAGATGAAAAGGAAGATTTAGGTGCAGTACAAAAGGCCTCATCAGAAAGTAGCTTTCCAGTTCCATTAATTGGTTGGTTTTCAAAAGGAACTGGAACGCCCTCAATGTCTCCAGGATCCTTAAAAGGATGAAAGGGAAAACATATTTTAATAAAATATGGTTACTAAAATCTGGAACTGTATTGGCTTACAAATCACCCTTTAATAAGGTTCATGTGTGTAGCACCTGATGAGAGAGATCACCCTTTATGGATATCTGTGTATTATGTCCATTTGCGTCAGAAGTTCTGTCTACTTCAGGTTCAAATCTCTTTCGATAATTTCCACCCGGAATCAATGACTTCAAACCCACAAACCAAACTTCGGCTTCTTCCTTGTCCTTGCATATCTGTTGTAGCAATGAAAATAATTATAGTTCGTTCACGACACAAGTTGCCAATTTAGAAAGAGCTTGATTGTTAAGTGAGGGACACAAGGGGCACAAGTTCTTTTTTGTGTCTGTGTCTGAGTGTGCGCGTGTGTGTGAGTGGAGACATAGCAATGCTACAGACATGTATAGGCACAGGTGCGCGCGCGCACACACAGAGATGTTAGAAGCATACACAAGCGAACACTTGAACGTGCAAACAGTGTGGCTATATACACACGCCAAAATGATGTGTGTTGTGTTGTGCGGGGGGGGGGCGGGAGCGAGAAATGACAGTTGATGACTGAATACCACAGATCTAAGGACCTGTCCTTGTATAGAAGGGAAAATGATTGGTAGTCTTTGTCAGGCTGTGGATACCGCTGAAATATGGCCTGAAAGGAAGGAAAACCAAAACTAAGCTCATGACGTTCACACGATACATCATTAAGACATTTAACGTGAAAATGTCATATATGAAAAAACTATGATAGAGTTCATAAGAGATGTGCTTTTTCTCTATTTCTGGCCATCATTCTTCTTATCTAAGTACTCAAGAAATTCATAGATTTTTCCACTCATAATGTAGTACAGCAGTTAAGATAAAAGAAACCTTCATTGTAATTTTTCTGACTGGCTACATGAACTATTTTGTTTTCCAGTCAACTTCGTTAAGAACAGCCTCCTCTTCAAATGTGACTATCATGTCCTTGTTTACCGATCTAATTCATGTTCATTTTGTAATAAGCCTATACTAGCTATTTTTCAACCACGACCTTAACATTCCTAACTGACACACTCGTTCACCGTTACACATGTCCAATTCATACACTCAACTGGTTATTCCTCATCTTATCCACAAGAAGCTCTGATTATGACTGCTAAAGGACTGCGGAATCGGCATGAGAACCCCTGGATAGAAGCTTGTTCAGCTGGTTGAATAACTTGAGGTGATCTTGTGATCGTTCACTGAAAACAGCAAATGAATTTGAGCATAACTGGACCTGGTTCTACTCAGGTTCAAAATCATCTTTTAGTAGCTCAGTTGCCTAAGTTTGAGCTGACCTAATCAAAAGATAGATAACTTGGGAATGAGCCTGTTACTGCATTCAGATCAGTTAAGCTGCAATTCAAATTGCAAGTATATATCCAATTTGTCCTAGTTGTATTTAAGAATGTTATGATAATCCAGACTCGTTATATAAACACAAGAAACTAACATAGCAAACTGTCAGGTTTCACTACCATGCATAAAGTAGATCAAATACCATCCTGAAATGAACATTAACTCCTTTCAGGTTAGTTTCGGTCTGCTTTGATGTATGGTAATGAGACTTCATAATTTAGTTTGACATAATGATAAGGATATACAACAAACAGATGTAATAAGCCGAACTGGACTTTATTTATTATTTGCAAACATCACTGTTTTTCCTTCCTTTCTTATTGACTGTTTGTTAAGCTGAATAATGATAAAAGCCAGGGTAGGGAATTAGCGAGTTTCATTCTGTTATGCTTTGCTTGAGCATCATAATTTTCCTTACCTTCCATGTTGATGTTCTGCTAAGGTAAATAAAGGGAAAAATCAGTTTAAACAATTTACCAATGAATCAGCATATCAAGTAGAATGAAAAAAGTTGTTCTGCTAAGGACTTTAAAGGTTATTGTTCATTATAATAGGATAAATATAATATATAACTTTAACAAGCTTCCAAGTATAGTGAGCAGTGTTGTTATATTTGCTTTATTGGTTCATGAATGGCTTAGAAAGGTTAAGGGTTGAGTCCAGAAGCCCAAACTCGGCTTAGGCTCATTAAGAACTTTCCAGAGCTTCTCTTTGATATAAGTAACCGAACCAAGCTTGAACAAAATTTATGCAAAATAATTAAACAAAAGTGAGCCTGCAGCTCCGCTTCGTTAGTAACCTTAGCTATCCCTGGTATCTTAAGGGCATTCTCATTCTTATCCAACTTTTAGCTTTGTCCTTGTGACCTTGTCTAATCAACATTGTCATTTGGTCTACACTGCTAATGCCACCCAGCTTCTTGCTGAAGATGTTGCCCCATCTTGTCAGAGATCAAGTATCATCATGATCTCAACATTAAATGTACTGAGTACAAATAACACTAAGGATGCTAATACTCAGTCGCTAGCAGGTGGAGCAGTAGGACATCCAAGAAAGTACATCATCTTCAAATTGAAGTATCATTTCATTAGCATCTTCTCAAAGATCACATATTATCACGATATCAATACCTAAAAGAGAATTGGTAATCAAGACATCAACTAATTCAATGGAAAGTAGAAAATGATAATAAAAATAAATTTCTATATAAGTTTTCACCAAAGTTTTGGTCAGAAACATAAATATGTATAAAGAGGAGAAAGTTGGATACATTTACTTACAGTACGCTGCCCAGGTATGATCTTAGAAACCTGATTTAGTATAAGTTGTTTCTCAGATTTTCCTACATACCAAATCAATGCAGTTTCATCCTGAAAAAAAAAAATACAAGAACTCAACAAAATAACAGAAGGAAAACAACCAAGTATTTTGTAAGATCATGTAAAAAAACAAAAAAGCCTTTATCCCATATTTTTGGGATCATCTACATGAACCTACTCTTGTACTCAGTTCTGTCGAGAGCTATATTTAAGACAAGCTGCATGCACAAGAAAACACCAGAGATAAATTTTGCTTTAAAATATAAATGGCTCAGTCAGTATACTTATCGAGTTCTTCTGTTTATTTTATAAGCTAAAGTCTACCCTCATTCCACCCCCTCTTCAGAACTAAAATCACACAACAATATATTATAATTACTTAACAGAACCATCCTAAAACGGCTCCAACTATTAGTTTCACCTTGCTATTACTCTAAAGGTATACGGAGAGATTGTTTGTTCATTACTGTCAGAAGCATCTGCACATAATAAATTTATTATTTTTAAGCTTTTACGCCCAAGTTAGATGTCTTGGTGCTAACAGTCCTCCTGCACTCACTTTTCTTTTTCATATTTCCTCGCTAATGTTCTTTAGCTTTGCTTCTTCAATTAAAATTGTTACAAAGGGAGGGATAAGTTTTTCTTCCTATGCTAAACATTACATATTCCTTATTACTTCAGAAAGAAAGGAGGAATGTGATTGCTTCTCATCATAACTCTCCTATGTTTAAAATAGTACTTATTTCGTTGCTTTACCTCTCTTCAGGTTTCTCCCTCTAAAGCTCACCACACATATGGGGGAAAAGCAAAACAAACAAACAAACAAACCTTACCGCATATGACTACGGAAATACGTGAATGAAGCTCCAATGTTATTTTCAGAAATCTTTGCACTTGTTAAACACTTCAAGAAAAATAATTAATGGATGCTAACAACTCAGTTATAAAGTTTCCTTATCACTAATTATATACCTCTGCAAGCAACAACAATGGAAAAATACAAAATAAAGGAATAATGTTGGACGTATCTAAAGAAACATAAGCTAAAGGAAAAAGAAAATTACCAATGAACATTGCAACATCAGAAGTAATAGAAACTGATTTACTATAACAGTAACTTTATGAATGATCCATTATATGGAGTAACTAAAATGTAGGATTCCTTTGTTGTCATACAACTTACAACAGAAAGTCTAAAAGGGCAAAATTTTGGCTTCCCTCTGCGACCATACTTGAGTAACCGCGCCCCTTTCTTTAGAGCTGTAATTACCTGCACATCGGTCAGAAGTTAGCATCAATCGGACAAGAGAAGACAAGGCAAGAGCATATAGCAAATTCTGTAACTTCTATCATTGTGTGATCACGATCCTTTGTGTTTTTGGAAATAGAAATTAATTGGAAAATGCAATATGTATAACAGCCATTGCTTAGGAGAAACAGAGTTTGGAGATCTGTTTGGAGATCATTGTACCATTCCGTCAATGCATACTTAGTAGTGCCCAACACCAAACTCAGGGAAGATGATTTGTCAAACCACAACTGAGAAGCCTGGTTTACCTTTCAGGAATAATTAAAATTCACTGCTATGATTTGTGACCTTTCTAGGTGATTCCTTTCTCCTCTAGTAAGTAGAATGTACCGAACTATATGGCTACAAGAACTGGTGACACAAGTTGAAGTTATGATGCAGATAAACAATAAATAAATAATTCTACTTACTAATGCACTTCATGTGTCCCACATAAAACTGAAATCTTTGGAGCTCGTGTCTCACAGGAATATATAGAAGATCTAATGCTGCGGCAGATATAATGACACTAAAAGGTATGCATACAGGTTAGGAGGTCGTACAGAGTCTAGATAACAAACTAAGGGCCTGTTTGGCAAACCCATGAAACTGGGCCAGGTCTAGTCCTGGTACAGTTTTTGGCTATTTTCTGTTTGGAAAAAAAGGGCCAACTCTAGCCCATTATTTTAGTTCATTTTGAAGCCCAAAAACCAGGCCAGAGTTGGTCCACCTCCCCCCTGGTTTTAATCCTGGCCTGGTTAAGGGGATATACAAAGTTGGCCCAGTTTCACTTGATTGCCAAACAGAACCTAAGGATTCTTGTAAGTGTTGTAATTATGACTATTTCATAGAGGTTGCTCGAATATATCATTGCCTCTCTGTAACAGAGATTTATAATGTGAATAAGTTTCCCACGTGGACAATAAGTCCATAATGTAGAAATATTTGAGTTAATAAGACTCTGATGTGGTTTAACCTTTTGGGAAGACGACATTAAGATTAGAGGAGGAAGTAAGCATATAGGTCAAATCCATACCAAAATTCATGGTTAATGCAAGGTGGTGGCAGATAATGGCAGAACAACTTGTGATGATGTTATCATGGACTTTGGTATATAAATAAAAAGGACAAAGAGGGCGTGCTTAACATAGAAAATTATTACCACGCCAATTAATTGATCAAACAAGCTTTTCCGCATTGTAACACAAATTGTCCAACAAAAGTGTAAGCTCTTCTTTTACCAAAGAAAAGAAAAGCAAAAAAGAAAAGGATCAATGGACTTTGTAGATACTGAGCTTCGGGTCTTACTTCTCATAAATGGTCATACATGAACAAAATCGTAACCGCATAAATACTGTAGGCAATGCGTATGTAAGATGAGAACAGTTGAAGAACATAAATACACTGTAAATCCACGAGAAAAATGTAGTGCTCAATGAAAAATATTAGATGCAAAATTCAACGAAGAAACTTACGATAAATGGAATAAAGTTATATACCTGTTCAACATCCCTCTCAAGGGGAGTAGTTCTTAGAGGATCACCCATCCCTGCTCCAAACTCCAGCATCCCATGTGTGCCGAACGACATCCACACAATATGAAGACCTTAAGAAGATATTCTCGATATTCACTAATTCAAAATCTTTCATTTATCCCATCAGAATTTACGGGAGAATCCCAAATAGATTGCAAGTCACTGATTCATCTCAAACTGTACCATGGTTTAAATGCATGCATTAGCACCAAGATCCCAAACGAAAATCATGAGATATATGGAAATGTACGTCGCTAAGCTGCATTTCAATGGAATCACGAATTCAGGCCCCTAAACTCAAATAACAGCTCAATCCCTCGCAAGATACCGTAGGATCTCTCAATCTAAAAACGCCTCAAATCCCCGGAAAGCTCTCAAATTAAACCATTTTCGACCTAATAAACAATAAAACCTTTGAAATGAGGACAATTTCGAAGAAAAGCTTCCGTGTTTCTGAGAATCAGCGACCGAAACCCTAAATTTGCCGCCGTTCTGCTCGAACCTGAGGCCGTTGAGATTGGATTGACGAAGAGAACCAAGCAGCGGTTATTGAAAGGCTATATGGATTTAATGATGATTTTTTTTAGGAGAATTTGCTGAAATCTTTCGATCGAAAATTTTGATTATTGACACGTTATTTTTGTTTCCCTCCGCCTCTCTTCCCCTTCCCTCTCGTTTGTGACACGTCACCCGCAGCCCGTTAATTTGGACGCTTGAATTTATAAGGCTATATCAAACATGCAAACAGAGCCCTCGAAATTTAAATAATTACGTTCAGGCTGGTATTAGCTAAAAAGTTTCGTTAAAAGTCCTGAAATTATATCGGTAAATTGTTTTTCGGGATAGATAATACTACACTCTGCTCCTGATTTATTCAAAATTTTATACATATCAACGTAACAATCTCAAGTCAATCATAAATCTGCAATCTTCATCGTGAGATCTGCTCAGTTTAAAGCTCACTTTTTTTATTCATGAAGAAAACCAATCATTGTCACCTTAGAAATTAGTCTTCATGTATAACGAACTATAGTTATGCTCCAACTAGTGTCAAATCAATTTGAGGGGATAACTATTGCTTATCAACTTGAAATTTACTAGTCCACGCAAATTAGAAGGTCCTAACTTAAATATATGAGAAATAAACATTCTATGCCAGAATAAATTTCATTGTTGCAGTTTACTCTTTTTTTTTCCCCTTTCTTTTCTATCAATGACCACAATAAATATTGAACCGAATTTTGTACGGTCAATATGGCCATCTATTTACCTACGTGTATGTATTCTCTTTGATAGTCTCCCTACAACTTTGGCCAACGAGATCCTATAGAGGATCCTTTATAGAAAATCAAATATTATGCATGTCTGGATGCATATTTTTTAAGTTGGTAATTGCATTGATAAAACATTCTAGTTGTACTGATACAGGAATGATGATTGCACCAGGTCATTAGTCTAATTTCACCAATACTAATTCCACCATATTAGATAGTGATGAGAAATAATTAGATTTGCTAATGAAACATTGCACTTTGTACATGATTTTGCTAGTATCAGAAAGTTCCTTGTATAAGATTGAATGGTTCAGATTAGCCCTTATTCAATCAGGATAAATCATCATCTCCATATTTAAAAGAGAAAGGGGAAGAAATAATTGAAGTGTTTTCTCAATATTAGTCCATTAAATCTTCCATATTTTGAATTTAGTGCATTAAATTGTAAGAAATTGATATTGGATCCTTCAATTCTAAGGTTAACTCGGTATTAGCCATCAAATCGTGAAAATTACTATCAAGTTCCCAATTCTTAAACTCAATTTGAAATTAGTCACTCCAATCAAGAGTAAAAGTGGCAATCGAAGGGATTATCAAGTAAAATCTATTGCTACGGACTATCATATCAACTCCTCTAATTCTCATTATTTGTTTCAAATTAATCTCTTTAATTGTATTGCTATTCTTCATCGGAGAGACTAATTTCAAATAAGTCAAAATCCAGGAGGACCTAATAACAAATTCCATGATTTGAAGCACAAAATTTAGAATACACTAGGATTTGACAATTGAGGGACCTAATCTCATCATTAACGGTTTGAAGGACCAATTTCAAATTCAAGGGAACAAAAAAAAAGTAAAAAAACCTATAAAGAAACATAATCCGACTCCGTTGTGACCCCAACAAAATAGAAACATTTCTTACACCCCCAACCCCACCCAAAAGCTTCCCCTTTCTTCTTCCAACTCTCTCTCTTTCCTCCCCTTACTTCTCCCATTAGAAACCCTAATCTTCGGTTTAAAGCGGAAATTATTCTAGGATTTTTCTTTCTTTCGACGTTGGATCCCTAAATTTAGCGATGAGTGCTCAGAAGAAAAGGAACTTTAAGATCGAGGCGTTCAAGCATCGAGTGGAGGTGGATCCTAAGTACTCGGAGAAGACATGGAAGATTCTCGAGCATGCGATCCACGAGATCTACAACCAAAACGCCAGTGGATTGAGCTTCGAGGAGCTGTACAGGTGACTAATTGCTTGGATTTGTGCTGATTTGGTTTGAATTTGAGTTTCATTTGGGCATTTTAGCATTAATTTTTTGATGGGTTATTCGTGAATATGGTTGGGTTATTTTGGCTAATAATAGGTTTGGGTTCTCGTGCGATGGTTAGTTGGAATGAAAAACCATTGTTCCGTTCTCTTCCTTTCGTGGTTCATATTGCCATATTAAATTTGCTTTGTGATGCATCTAATTATATGGACCTTGGAGCTTTCGTAACAGTTTCAGAAAATAGAAAAAAGGTGTTTGAGAGAAGGAAACGTTTCTCTACGTTCGACTAACAGATGAACAGACCACATGAATTTCTCTCAACTAGATTACTAGTCAATATCAATGCTACCACTTAGTATTCATGATAACTGTCTGTATATTTACTCCTGGCGGCCAAGCAGATATCCCTACTTGGGACTCTACCCCTAACAACATGTTTGCCTTAGCAAATATACACACACATATATGTATGTATAGATAAGAGTCACCACCTTATTTACCAACATGACATCAAGAGATAGGAGTGGTGAGGATGACCTGCTCTGAAGTGACTCAAGGCTTTGATTTTGCTTTGGAAATTTGTGTTGTAGACAGACTATTTTTGAGACGTGTGCATTGATTTGTATCAAATGCTACCAGAAATTCAAAGCAAAATCAATGGATCAAAGAGTTGCTGGACAACAAGCTCCTATTCACTTAAGTTTAAAAGAGCTTTGTGCTACACGCACATACACATACTAGTATATATGTATATATATTATATATTCATACAGGCCAATATGTATGTGCATATTTAATATATATACATATATGTATTGGTATGTATGTATATATACTACACATGTTATATATAATATTATGTATATATAATACTATATATACATAATATTATATATAACATGTGTAGAATATATACATACATACCAATGCATACATATATATGTATATGTATATGTGTGTGTACACACACACATGTATATATATTAAATATGCATACACATATTGGTATGTATGTATTTATGTATATATATATATGTGTGTATGTATATGCATATGTATATATGTATGTATTTATATGCTAGCTAGTTAACATGTGACAAGAAGGGGGAGAAAGATGAACAATTGTTGGTATCTTGCAATCTTAACGGGAGAATCTCTAGAGAGTTTCGTTTGGTTGGTGAGTTATATAGGTACCCGTACAATATAAACCATGTTTGGCTGAACGCTAAGCTCAGGAGTAATAGTGGATGGCATTAGCTTATGCAATCAATTATCTAAATAGTAATTGACCTTTGACTTGCTTGTTTCTGCTTTGTAGCAACATGGACTACAATCTCAAAGTAAGAATTGATTCGCTTAAAGTTGCACTCTTAACCTTTTGAAAGGAGAAATTTAGTTTAGCATTAAACTGAATCATGAGTTCCTGTTGGAATGTTGTGTTTCTATGGTGCACAAAAAGGCTGTAGAGAATCTCTTTTCAGTTTCCTTCTCTCGTTAGTCCTCTGAAACAAATGTTTGATCTCTAGATGGATGAGTGTTGTTTTCTTGATTAGTTATACGAATACCTATGTTGCATGTACACTTCAATCATGAAGCCATACCGTACCTGACACTTACCGTACCCACGGGGGCAGAGACACCTCAAAGAGGGTGGCGTCAAGTGATACCACGCTCTAGCAAAACAATTGCTAAGTATATAGTTGTATTGGGCCCAATAGTGAGCCCACAATAAAATTAAGTAAGGGATAGTGACCCATTTGTGATTTATTCTTGATGGGCCAAATCTGAAATGGCCTAAACCCAAAATTCCGTTAAATTCTAGCAACTCAGCATAAATTAGAAAAGAAAAAAAAGAACAAATAAATAAATATGGGTCCCACTTGCAAGTTGGTGAAAGAATCGTTTTCGAAATCGAATGGAAATCAATGGATAAACAATAATTTAGTAACTTAGATTGAAAATAATGTATTTTGTGGTGTTTCGAACGAGTCTATAATACAACAATTTTAAAACGCGAAGGCACGTAGTGGTCAATTGCGATTTTACTTAGTCAAATATACCTTTGTATCTCATTAAAATTCTTGATATATTGAATATGAGAGGAAAATTATTGTGATACCATTAGTGTGAATTCCTGGCTCCGCCACTGCATACCCTTTCCTGTGCCCATACCCATGCCCGATATTCCTTGGATACTCCTTGAATATATGCATATATTTAGTCAAATGTGTACTCAATCATATAGTACATGTTTTAATTTTAAACACTCAATTATAATATAATAAATGAAACATAAAAATGTTGTGTAAATTTTGATTCTTGTAACATGTGAATGATGGCACAATATTGATGTCATGTAAATTATTAAATTTCAATGTATACATAGCCGTGTCCCCGTACCCTACGTTTTACAAATTTTTCATGCCCTGTACCCGTACCCTCACCCACACCTGTATCCTTACCCGTACCAATTCAACATAGATGAGTACCATTACAATATGAACCATGTTTGATGGAAGACTGAGCTCATAAATAATAGTGGACCTCGTGTGGTTATGTGATCCATTATCTAAATAGTAATATGCCATTGGCAACTTCTAGTTCTACTTGTTCGCAATGTAGAATACACTCAAAAGTAAGCGGGGATTAGCTTCAAGTTAGGCTCCAACCTTTCGAAAGAAAGGAGTAGTTTTGTTATCATCAAACTGAACCATGTCTTCTTGTTGGAACTGTGTTCCTGTTGGTTTGGCAAAAGGTTATGGAGTATGTGTTACACAGATGTTAGAGCTGTAGTAAATGAGAAGCTTCTTGGGTGGGTACTAAACTTTGAAAGGATTACTTGTTAGTGTCTTAGTAATGTAGACCGTGCAATATTCAACCATTATTTGTCAACACTGGGTTGAGAATTCGACGTTGTATTCAATTTATTGTAGTTGAAATTCTGACATATTTAGTAGATCTGATTAAACTATTTCCAGATGCTGCATGCCTATGTTCTGTTTTTTTTAATTATGACTGATCAACCGTAGCTAGTTATTCTTTATTCTGGCTAGTTTACTCCTCTAGAGGCCTTTATAGAGGCTGAAGAAAAACTTTTGGGATGGATAGTGACTGGAGCACGAAAGCATTTGAGGGTGTTATACCTGCACACTTCTCTATTTCTTCTATTCTGTTGTTTTTCCTTATATTGTTCTTAATTTTTTTGGGATTACTATAAACCACATCATGGATATTACACGTGTTTGTTTTCGTTGCCGAAGTTTCAGATTTTCATGTATATCTTAGAAGCCATCCATAGCAACTCCCATGCCGGAACTCAGTCCTGAATCCATGCCACGTGCTAACCTAGATGGTTTATCTCTAATTTATTTACACTTCCCTTGATCTCAGTTTCAACAAAAAAAAAATCATGTTCTAAACATGCAACCAGATTTTTGTCTTCATGCCATTTCTGTTGGTTAAGATTGTACCGGTATACTTCATGTCATCACTTGAAATAAAATGAAGCAAAGCATCTACCTTGACATTCTGATCCTAGGTTACGGAACATATTTTGAGACTGCATTGCATAACATTTCATTCGATAATAAAACTTTCAAGTTAGGTTTGTCTTGAACCTAACATATATAATACACATTTATCCAGAGATGTCAACTCTTGCTTTGCGTTTAAGGATAGTTTCATGAACTTCAGTTGCAAGGTTATCCCCTTATCAGTTCTACATAAGTAAGATGCTTTAGTGGGAAGTTGTTGACCTTTTATATCATACATTTGTACCCTGGTCTCCCTCACGACAAGTGTGCACGATTCTGTATTTGCATTATAGGCAGGATCAATTTGCAATCATTAAGAATCAGGTATCATTCTTCTTTTTAGGAGGGTGGAGGTGAATGGCAATGGTCTTCAAATCACCCTAGGAGAACACAATGCTTTTTATTTGGAAGCACTTTTTGATTAGGTCATTCTGTGTTGTAGCATAAAAGAAGTCCGCGGTTCTAAAAACTGAGGTCATCATCTGCCTAATGAGGAGGAATAAGATGGTGATAAACTTGTAGAAGAAGCATGTTCAGGATTACATCTATTCTTTGGGTCATTGTTGCTAAATCTCAATGAAAATCAGTTTTATAGAATTTGGCGAATGGTTATAGACATGCGTCTGCTGTTTAGTTATGTGATCTTTGTCAGATGTCATGTTGTCACATTTACTAAATTTCGTCGGTGTTGAGTTGAGGCTCTTTTAAATTCAATCGAACTTTTAAGTACAATTGTTATTCTTTTGATGAGTAAATGGGCAATAACCTACTTGATGACAATATAAGAGAAATAGTGGCCAATGTTGCTGATAAGCCTTTTTTTTTTGTGTGTCCAAATCACCAAGCGAAAGAGCATGTTAGAGATGCTGGTGCTCTCTCTTCAATTTGGAGTGTCGTACTGCTTTCCTGACTCACCGTTTCAGCATGTTTGTTGCATTGTTTTCGTATAATTTGCCCTCCCTCCCTCCTTCCCTCTCTTCTGTTTTTCGCTTCTTATTCCCTCTGGATTCATTTTTTTGTTCATCAGAAAATGCTTGTATTTTCCTTCTTAATCAACAACAGTGATGTTTTGTTACTCTTTTGACATTAGATTCTCTTTCTTCTTTCCTGTGGCATGCTATGCTGTTAGGAACAGGCAATCTAGAAGAAAATTGTCAAAACCACACACAACATGCTGAATTATCTTGCTTACATATTTTCACCTCCCATTCTTAGAGGTTGGTCCCAGAGCGAGTACCATCCTATCTGTGAGCCCTTGAATTAGTCCCCTTGTATAATTACCTGATAGTAATTAAGTGATTGTTTCTTTACAGTTAAAGGTGGCATTTGAAGTTAGACCTGGAACATTTGAAATTTTGGTACAGGTTGAACGTAGTCTTCAATGTTTAAGCCCTTTGTCCTTGTCATGTTTCTTCTTTAGTTGTTCTGTGTCTGTGTGGAATACTTATTTCTTTTTTTTTATTTGAAAATCATATTTACGACCTTCGTGTTTTCAGAATGCAGCACAACACCCCCAACAAAAAAAAGGACCTCCACCACCATGATAAACGCTGGTGTGCATCTCTTTCATGTCCCTGAAATCAATTAAAAAGTTCTGCACTTAAATGTCAAAATTCTGTAAAAACAAAGACAGTTACTCTGAGCAGATCGATAATTTAGCTGAAGATTTTTTGTGCTGTCTGTGAGGGGGCACTGTGTTGCATTTGTTAGTGCGTAGTAAAAGTTTGTTGTCACTTGTCATGAAGAACGTTTGAATCAAATTGAAGTAGAAGGGGCCTTTTACATTAGCATTCCATTGTCTCGCCCAAGTCCATTTAAAGTATGGTGGATATTGGATAGATTAGGCAAACCTATTTAGGCTTCTCATCTAATCTAGGCTGTGATTTTGAAATTAAATTTTCACAGTTGAAATACATGCGCGCAAAAAGAATCATTGCTTTATCCTGTAAAGTAGATTTGGTTGGTAAAACTCTCAAGTAGATTCTTCTGTTTTGGTTTTGAAAGTAGTCTTCCCACATCCATGTGCTGTATCTTATTTCCGACCTCAAAATTTATTAATTTCCCGAATGTCCATAGAAGTTGTGATTTCCAATTCAACTTGCTGAAATCTTTATGCATTGATGATTGAGCCATTTTTCCCTTCTGGATTTAGGAATGCTTACAATATGGTCCTTCACAAATATGGAGAAAAGCTCTATAGTGGGCTTGTGACCACCATGACTTGGCATCTGAAAGAAATGTCAAAATCTGTCGAGGCAGCTCAGGGGGGTTTTTTCCTCGAGGAGTTGAACAGAAAATGGGGGGATCACAATAAGGCGTTGCAGATGATTCGGGACATTTTAATGTATATGGACAGGACTTTTGTTACCACGACGCACAAAGTACCAGTCCATGAGCTTGGTTTAAATCTATGGAGGGACAACATCGTCCACACCAGTAAAATCCAGACCAGATTAATCAGCACTCTTCTTGACCTCATTCAGCAAGAAAGGACTGGTGAAGTCATAAACCGGGGCTTAATGAGGAGTATAACAAAGATGCTTGTGGATCTTGGTTCTTCTGTATACCAAGAAGATTTTGAGAAGCCATTCTTAGATGTGTCAGCCAGGTTTTACAGTGTTGAGTCTCAGCAGTTTATAGAATGCTATGATTGTGGTGATTACCTCAAGAAAGCTGAGAGACGGCTCAATGAAGAGATGGAGAGAGTTTCTCACTACTTAGACCCGAAAACTGAGTCAAAACTCACCCAAGTGGTTGAGAAGGAGATGATTGCGAACCATATGCAAAGATTAGTCCACATGGAGAATTCTGGCCTTGTGAGTATGCTAATTGATGATAAGTATGAAGACTTAGCTAGAATGTACAATTTGTTTCGTCGAGTTCCAGAAGGTCTTTCAACAATCCGAGATGTGATGACGTCCCACCTCAGGGAAACTGGGAAGCAGTTGGTATCTGATCCGGAGAGGCTAAAAGATCCTGTTGATTTTGTTCAACGACTTCTTGACGAGAAGGATAAGCATGATAAGATTATTAACACGGCATTCAACAATGATAAGACGTTCCAAAATGCTTTGAACTCCTCATTTGAGTACTTCATCAATCTGAATAATAGATCCCCCGAGTTCATCTCCCTATATGTCGATGATAAGCTCCGGAAAGGTCTGAAAGGGGTCAGCGAGGAGGATGTGGAGATTATTCTTGACAAGGTGATGATGCTGTTCCGTTACTTGCAAGAAAAGGATGTGTTTGAAAAATATTACAAGCAACACTTGGCAAAAAGGCTTCTTTCAGGAAAAACAGTTTCTGATGATGCTGAGAGAAGCCTAATAGTTAAGCTTAAGACGGAATGTGGGTACCAGTTCACTTCAAAACTAGAAGGGATGTTCACAGACATGAAGACATCTCAGGATACAATGCAAGGATTCTATGCAAGCCAGTCTGCTGATATTGCTGAAGGCCCAACATTAGTTGTACAAGTTTTAACTACTGGGTCTTGGCCAACTCAACCTATTACGACCTGCAACCTTCCTACAGAAATATTGGGGGTTTGTGAGAAGTTCAAAAGCTACTATCTTGGGACCCACACTGGTCGGAGATTGTCTTGGCAAACAAACATGGGCACAGCTGACCTGAAAGCAACCTTTGGAAAGAACCAAAAGCATGAACTAAATGTGTCTACTTACCAAATGTGTATCTTGATGCTGTTCAACTCTACAGAGCGGCTGAGTTGTAAGGAGATTGAACAAGCCACAGAAATTCCCGCTTCAGATTTAAAACGGTGTCTTCAATCTCTTGCTTGTGTGAAGGGTAAGAATGTTTTGTGCAAAGACCCGATGAGCAAGGATATAGCTGAAGATGATGTTTTCTTTGTTAATGATAAGTTTTCGAGCAAGCTAGTCAAGGTGAAGATTGGGACAGTTGTAGCTCAGAAAGAGTCAGAGCCAGAGAAGCATGAGACAAGGCAAAGGGTGGAAGAGGACAGAAAACCCCAGATTGAGGCTGCAATTGTTAGGATTATGAAGTCGAGAAGGGTTTTGGATCATAATAATATAGTTGCAGAAGTCACGAAGCAGTTGCAGGCGAGGTTCTTACCGAACCCTGTGGTGATCAAGAAGAGGATTGAGTCCCTTATCGAGCGGGAGTTCTTGGAGAGGGACAAAGCTGATAGAAAACTGTACCGATATCTTGCATAAGACCTTTTTTTTACAAGTTTTAATTGCTTGATTTGGTCAATTTGTATGTGTTCAGAAGGTTCCTCGTGCACCTTTCTTGTGTTTTATTTCAGTTTCGGTATCAATGACTTGTTTCACTTTAGATATGAAAACTTTCTTGTCTCGGTAAATTCTGTATTATCTTTTTTTTAATCATGATGCAGCAACAGCTTACTCAAAATCCTTTGTCCATCATCTAAGCAGGATTGTGCCAATATATTTGCTGAATCATATTTTTGCCTGGTTTACACGTTTTCTTCTGCGAAGAAGGGATGGTGTTGCATGCCATAGTGTGTTCTGTATGAGAACGCATACAATGTAACTGAAGCGATTGATTTGAATATTGATGGGAGAGTTAGTAAGCAGGCTACTGGGCTCTGACACTGTTAGAATTATCTTGTTGAGAAACCTTTTGGTAAAGAAAAGCGGCTCTGGCTTCTGACTTTTACAACTAAATGCCAACAGTTATTTCCATAAGGGACAAATTTTCAAAATCAACATTTTTGGCATTTTAAATAGTAAAACCGACCTCATATGACATTATTCAGCAAAACCGACCCTTTTCAGAAGGGTCGGTTTTGTTGCTGGAAAAATTTTATGAAATACACGGGACTGCTAGTCCCGTGTATTTCGACCCAGCTTTGAAAAACACGGGACTAGTAGTCCCGTGTTTTTTGCAAAGAGTTCGATCGCAACAAAAAACAATTACACGGGACTGCTAGTCCCGTGTATTTCGACCCAGCTTTGAAAAAACACGGGACTAGCAGTCCTGTGTTTTTTGCAGAGAGTTCCATCGCTACAAAAAAACAAGTGCACGGGACTAGTGCACGGGACTACTAGTCCCGTGCATTACTAGCAGTCTCGTGCATTTCCTGCACAAATGTGCATGTATTTTTGCTGCGTTGTTACAATTCCCTGTACAAACTCATATTTCAAATGCAAGTTTCATAAATTAAACCATTGCATTTCATGTCAATTCCCTGTATAAACGCATATATCAAATTTAAAAATCATAAAATACACCACAAACTCATACAAATCCAACAAATCACGCCACAAACCCACTTACGAATCTAATAAGTCACACCACAGTCTCGGCTACAAATCTAAAAACCATCTATTGTTCCGAAATACGTGTGTAATGTACATATCAAAATAAAATTGTAATTTATATAACAATAATGATTAGCTTACATACATCCAAGAACTCTTCTCCTCCTCCTTTGTCTTCGGCCTCCTCCATCCCGACCTTCGATGAGTTCATGATCCGGTTGCGTTTGTGGTTGTGACGGTCCAGCTCCGTCGTCAACACGTTGGGAAGGCCCAGCTTCATTATCGTTTCTGCATCGTCCTCGTCTTTGTCGTGGTTGACGTGTGTATACTAATTGCGCTACCTCCCGTCCATCATGAAGGTCTTCATGAGTTCGATGTAAGGCTTGGTGAAGCCTCTGCATTATCGACTGATATATTGATGCATGTTTCTATGCTTCGGGATATGTACCTGCGAGAGATAAATCAAAAAAATCCGAAATGCAAAAATTACTTTAAAATTAAAATTACAATATGTAAATTTCATATTTAATTCTACATTACCTGCTCGAGCCAATTCCAAGCCACGATTTGCAATGGTTTGAACATCATCTATTGTTGATACCTGCAATTTTTAAAAAAAACACAATTATATTTAGCAATATTGAAAAATACTAATAAAAATGAACTTAAAATAAATTTGAAAATACTTACTAATTCTCTCTCATCTATACCCCGAGGCACATATCCTTTTTGCAACTCAGCCGGGGATGTGGTTGTTAGATCTAATAAAAACTTGAGATCTAAACCATAAAGCCATGATTAATTCAAAGAGATTTACAAGAAAAACTTGAGATCTAAACCATAAAGCCATGATTAATTCAAAGAGATTTACAAGAATCAAAAGAAAAGAATGGAAGCTTATACCTGAATCCATAGATTAAACTTGAGATGGGTTTTGGATCTTCTAACCTTAGGGTTTCTCTAGCCAAATTTCTCTCTAGATGAGGGTGAATAGAATTAGAGAGTGTAACCCTAGATTAGGGACCATAACATCTTATTTATAGATGTTGTACATTTGTAATTTGGCCCCTCATCAAATCACAGTTACAACCTGGTATCTGCACATATAATCTCATGACTTATTTAAATACTCATTAACCCAAAATAATTGATCACTTTAGTGGGTTATCCTGAAGGATAGCAATACACATTGATTAATCATATGTGCCCACAAATAGATTTATTAGATTAAATCCAACAATCTCCCACTTGGGCACCATATGATTCTTTAAATTGTGTATAACCTTATGAGCTCAAAAATTGCTATCACTGAAAAGGTATTTCCGAACAATCTCGTCCATTGACTATATCAATATAGGATCAAAGCGGCCTTCGTCACATTTATCGTGACTCGACCCATCAATGGTCACATATACCAATACAATCAAACGACATAGATCAATCATGGATGTGCAGCATGAAAATTACATGCAATGTGATCAGTACATGCCTATTTTCAACTGGTCCTACTTTAGTGAGGTCAAAACCAAACATAATGTAACAGAGCGTCTTAACTGAATACTTTATTCTGATCAGACAATACAACCAAACATAAAGCACCACAATTACAAACTCCCACTAAATCATGATATCCTCAAATAATACCACACCCATATGAGCAGTATGCTCATGAAAGACCCTGGGTGGCAATCCCTTAGTAAGAGGATCAGCTATCATGGAGTTTGTCCCAATATGCTCTATAGATATCTGTCCACTCTGTACCCTTTCTTTCACAACCAGGAACTTAATGTCAATATGTTTTGACTTAGTTGAGCTCCTGTTATTATTGGAATACATTACTGTAGATTTATTGTCACAATATAACCTTAGTGGTCTTTCCATATTTTCCAAAATGCGTAGTCTCGTGATAAAGTTTCGCAGCCATATTCCCTGATTGGATACCTCATAGCAAGCTACAAATTCTGCTACCATAGTGGAGGAAGCTACAAGTGTTTGTTTGACACTTTTCCATGATATAGCTCCTCTTGCTAACTTATAAATGTAGCCTGATGTAGACTTTCTGCTATCTTGGCATCCAACAAAATCAGAATCAGAGTACCCAATGACTTCCAACTGTTCTGATTTTCTGTATGTGAGCATATAATCTTTTGTTTTCTGAAGATACCTCATAACCCTTTATATAATCTTTTGTTTTCTGAAGATACCTCATAACCCTTTTGACTGCTATCCAATGATCCATACCAGGGTTGCTTAAGTATCTGCCTAACATCCCAACAATGTACGCAATATCCGGACGCGTACATACCTGAGCATACATTAGACTTCCTACAGCCGAAGCATAAGGAATCTTCTGCATTTCCTGAATTTCAAGGTTACTTTTAGGGCACTGATTGAGACTAAATTTGTCTCCTTTAGCCACAGGGGTATCTCCTGGTCTGCAGTCTTGCATGCCAAACCTTTTAAGTACCTTATCGATATAGCTCTTTTGTGATAATCCAAGAATACCCCGAGAGTGATCTCGATGTATCTGGATTCCTAATATAAAAGAGGCGTCCCCAAGATCTTTCATCTTAAAATTCTTTGATAGAAATCTATTGGTTTCGTGTAGCATGCCTATATCATTAGTGGCAAGCAATATGTCATCGACATACAGAACCAAAAAGATATACTTACTCCCACTGAACTTGTGATATACACAGTCATCAATAATGTTCATCTCAAAACCGAACGAGATAATTATTTGTTGAAACTTATGATACCATTGACGAGGAGATTGCTTGAGTCCATAGATGGATTTCCTTAATTTGCATACCATATTCTTTGGGTCTCCTGACATAAAGTTTTCTGGTTGCACCATATAAATCATCTCATTAATGTCTCCATTGAGAAATGCAATCTTAACATCCATCTGATGTAACTCAAGATCATAATAAGCAATAAGTGCCATAATTGTTCTGAAAGAGTCATTCGATGAAACCAGAGAAAAAGTCTATGTATAATCAATGCCTTCCTTTTGAGTATAGCCTTTAGCCACAAGACGTGCCTTATACCTCTCCACATTACCATTTGCATCCCGCTTGGTTTTAAAAATCCATTTACAACCAATTGGTTTTGCACCTTCTGGTAATGGGACAAGTTCCCAAACCTTATTGTCTTGCATAGACTTGTACTCTTCATTCATGGCATCAATCCACTGTTGAGAGTTAGAACTTTTCATGGCCTGAGAGAAGTTGATTGGATCATCTTCTAACATTCCACTACTTTCCTCATGTTCTTGGAGAAATACAATATAATCATCCGGAATAGCATTTCTCCTTTCTCTCGTGGATCTCCTTAATGGCACTGGTTCTTGAGGTTGTTGAGTTTGTTCTTCTGGAACAGGGAGTTGTTCAACATTGTCATCTTGAGGTTCCGGATTTACTTCTTGAGCAACAACAGGTATAGGAACCTGAATATTGTCAAAAGTAACTGTATGGCTTGGATCTGAAGCCAATTCCTCCTCAAAACTAATGTCTCTAACCTTATTTCTCCCCCCAAACTCAACATCCTCAAATAATATTGCTGTTCCCGTCTCAAAAATATTCCTTAGTGTAGGATCATAAAACTTATAGCCCCTAGAGCGTTCATAGTACTCAATAAAGTAGCTGCTAACTGTTTTGGAGTCCAATTTCTTTTCATTTGGCCTGTAAGGCCTTGCCTCAGCTGGACATCCTCAAATATGTAAATGCTTTAAACTGGGCTTTCGACCAGTCCAAAGCTCATAAGGTGTTTTAGCAACTCCTTTACTTGGTACTCTATTCAGAATGTAAGCTGCTATCTTTAGTGCTTCTCCCCAGAGAGACTCTGGTAAAGAAGAATGAGAAATCATACTTCTTACCATATCCTTAAGAGTCTTGTTTCGTCTTTTAGCTACCCCATTCATGCTAGGTGAACCCGAGATGGTGTACTGTGGGACGATACCGCATTCCTCTAGGTATCTAGCAAATAGTCTTGGACGTTGTTCACCTGAACCATCATATCTACCGTAGTACTCACCACCACGATCAGATCTAACGGTTTTAATTCTTCTGTTGAGTTGATTCTCAACTTCAGCTTTATAGGCTTTGAACATGTCCAGAGACTC